TTGATAGTAATGACCCCTTACCCCTACCCCAGTTTAGAGATGAGGTGGGTGGGCCTGGAGCCCTGCAGAAAGCCAGGACTTCAGTATTGCTTTCTAACACAGCCTTTCTCTTTGACACGTACGGCACTTTACAGAACTGTCCACTCCATCCCCATCACATTCTGAAAAGATAGAAAGTGTCATGCTTCAAACTGACTCTTTTTAGTGGATAAAGTTGAGCTCAGAATTATTATAGGACTTTTCTAAAGCATCTCACCAGGCAATGACGTAATGAAGCAATTGAGTCCTGGTTACCCACTTTCTGGTCTGTAGCGCTTTCAATTTGGGGCGATTCACCTAGTAGACCGTGATTGACTTTGTCCTTGTTAAACATGCACTTTGGTATTATTGCTTTTCTTTCATAGCAAAGGTGAGTGAGTCTGATTTAATGTCAACTGACTCATTCTCCATATGACAAATACTCTAGATGAAGGAAGGTGGACAGCGGCCTTCATCCTCAGCACGTGGGCTCTGAGCTACAAGGGGCCAGGAGTGTTAGTCATGTGTCCAGGATTTACAGCACTTGGTGACATGAACCTCTGGTCACTGATGTCCCCTGGTCCCTAATATTGACATCGTCTCCAGGGCAACGCCTTGTCCTTCTAGGATGTTATCCTGAAGGGGTCATGCCTCACACTCTGCTTGGCAACTCACATATCCAAATGCCTGTGATCTTCATACCTTATTGGGCCAAGTTCAGTTTCTGAGTCTGACATTTTGCCTAAGTGTTATGCAATGCATTGCTTTAGAAACAAACTAAATGACTGTGGTACTCCACAGGAAATACATGTACTGTAAATGCTTGATCCAACCTATATCCACCAGTTTGGTGTCTAATGTGATGAGCACATCACGAATAGGCTGGCTGAGCAGCACTGTGTTATGACACCAGTACAGTAAACAGATGTAGGGTTTTGCTGGTTTAAAAACACATTTGCAAGTCTTAAGTGCTTCATGAGCGAGACAGGTGAGCAAGGTCATGGCCAAAGCAGATCCTGTGGTAAAGGAGGGGCAGAATCTCAGCCAGCAGAAGTTAATAGAATAAAAGGATACTAGTAAGTGTAGATTCTGTACTGTGGAGTGTGCCCACCTCAGCCAAATGCACAGGACCCGTGGCTTTTGAACTTTAAGAGGTCAGCGACACCGTTGACAATGAGATAAAAGCTGCATATTTTCTGGAGAAAAATGCTCCAATCTGCAGATATTTCCAGGGTTTCGCAGATCCCCAGGGCCCAGTATGGTCATTTTGCTGGTCGTCAGTCATTCGGGATCAATTATTCATGTCGTGTTGGAGTGCAGGGAGCAAGAGGGAGGCAGACTCCACTGCAGCTGGAGGTCAGCTCCTGGACGTGCCTGCTCTGCCTTCCTGCCCTGTGTCCCACCACGTGGCCCCTCACAACGCAGCTCCATGAAAGAAGAGGCCCGGTTTCACTCCACATTTAGTAATCAACAGCAAACCAGGGGGTATTTCCCCAAAATGTGTTCAGGCCCGTTAGCAATGCAAATATAACACATGCACGAGGAGAGTTTACCTGTAATCACATAGTTATGTGAGCTGGCTCTTTACTAATTTCTGAGAAATTAAAACAGATGTTTATAAAGTATCGCCAAGTGCATCATCTAAATAGTAAAACTGCAAATCTCTAGTGTTTTAAGATAAACTGAACTGAGATGTTGCAGACTAAAACGGTTTCCTCTTCACATCAACTATTTACTCTGTGAAGAGACTGTTTTCCAGGCTGAAGTGACTGCGCTGGAAACAAGAAGCCACTGTGTGGCCCACAAAGTTGCTTTCTCCTCTTTATGGGAGACACAGGTAGTTTTATATGGACGGGATGGATGTGAAGGGTGCATCTAGATCTGTAACTAAAATATCTCATATTATGCTGAATGAAATAAGTCAGTTAGAAAAAGCTAAGACCCATATGATCTCACTCATATGTGGAATATAAAACTGAAACTCGTGAACACAAACAGCAGTGTGGTGGTTGCCAGAGGGAAGGGGTTGGGGGAGAAGTGGATCCAAATACATGGTGACGGGAGAAGATTTGACTTTGGGTGGTGGGCACAGAGTGCAATATACAGATCTTGTAACATAGAAACCCACACTGAAACCTATATGACCATATTAACCAATGTCACTCCAATAAATTTAATTAAAAAGGGGAAATCCAAAAAAAATTAAATAAACTCAGTGTTTCACATAATCACAGCTATAAACCTACTTTTGGATTTTACCTTGTCCCTGTAGATTTGCCTATCCTGGACATCCTATCTGATAAAGAGGGAATATGTTAATTGACCCTCATGCTGTCACAAAGATGGTGGCACCCACAGCCAATAAAGGAAGGAATACGCTAATTGACTGCCCCACCCTCAAAGATGGCAACATCCACAGCCAATAAGGAGGGCATATGCTAATTGACTGCCCCACCCTCAAAGATGGAGGCACCCACAGACAATAAGGAGGGAATATGCTAATTGACTGCCACACCCTCAAAGATGGTGGCACCCACAGCCACAAGATGGCAGCACCCAGTCTCCTCAGCTATGCACCTGCCTCCGGAATCCCCCAGTACCCACAGCCCCCCTGCCTCCCAGGCCTGCCCAAGGCTCAGATAACCAGAGCCAGCTGAGGCTTGCGCTGCCAGCAGTGGCAGCAGCAGAGGTGTGATGGGGGCATCGCCTTCCCCTGATTGCCAGGTTGCCTTCTGCCCCTGAGGGCTCCTGGACTGTGAGAGAGGGCAGGCCGGGCTGAGGGACACCCCCTCCAGTGCATGAATTTTCATGCACCAGGCCTCTAGTTTCATATAAATGGACATACAAAAAAATAAAAGATTTCATAAACTCCAGAATTCAATCTATTCTTATTCTTCCTCCCCTTTTCCTTACCACAAACAACAACAACAACAACAAAAACAAGATTAATATTCTGCAGATGAAACGTTAATTCAGATGTAAGGTCTTGAAAGCTTTGTGACACCACACAATTCAAAATTATGATACTTGGGTTCTCAATAAAAAATTACCACTGAAAATTACCTAAATATTTCCAAGTGATTGATGATGTGTGAAGAAGAAGAAGAGGTAAAAGTCACCATCATGACATGCAGCCGTGAGCTCCATTTTTGCTCTCTACACATGGACACTTTCTCTAACTGTGACCAGAGAAATGCTAATAAACTAAAAGTGTCTCATGCTCAGGGATGAACGGTGCCTCTGACAGTGTAAGATTTTTCCTTCTGTGCCATTTCAGTGCAATAAAAATCACAATAAATCCAAAAGTGTCTTCTTTGTAGCCCAGAAAAGCATAGTAATTTAATGAGGCTGGGGAACACTAGCTAGCAGGCCTCACACAGATGAACGCGTGTGGAGTGCTTTGAGACTATTTCAGTGGCCATGTGAGAAAGCATGAGGAAAAAGAAAAACAACCTGAAAGCAGGTAACAAGAGCTATGCAAATATATGCCATTTGACTCTAAAGTCTGTGCTAAAGGCAAGAGTTTGTGAGTTCTTTTGCACAAAAACAATCTCCAAGGGAAAATTAATTTGTCTTTCAGCCTTCTGTGTTCTGCCCCTGAGACTTGCTTTCAAGTTATTGGTGATATCACTAAGTAGGGTAGGTGGCAAAGTGATTTTCTGATGCAATTTGTCATGATGTCTGTGGCTTACTGTGAAGCCTTTAAAACACTATCTAATTGCTTCCCTCAATGCCCCCCCCCACACACACACACACACAAACACACGCCAAATGCAAACAAGTTTAAGGTAAGCTCTGCTTTGAATCGGAGACATGAAGGTTATCCACAGGATGGGGTAAAGAGAAAGAAAGAGTTTGAACAATAAGTCAGGATTCTTATTGTGGAAGTTTTCCAGGTTTCTCTGAGATGAGAGTTCACAGAAGATGTGATTTGTTTGGTGACCTGTTCATTTCCAGGACACTGATCAAATGGAAAAATCAACACATTTTCCAGAGTCAAATATAAATGACCTAGATTGTGCCACTGATGCTGTGACTATAGACAAACAGAGGATTGATGAACTACCTTATGTGATTTAAAGTTCTGTGTTGATTTTATATAGATAATTATTTCTCACATGGAGTGGTAATAAACCAGGGTTTTATTTTTTATTGATCCTCAGATTTAGCGCTTTGCTTTACCTCTAGATCATTATTTCCAGACCAAATTGTTTCTTAAGCTTCAACTTCCTCCTGTATTCTCCATTTAGTTATCTCATAGGCCCTCCAACTCCAAATGCTCCAAACTAAATATAATATTTCTTCCCGAAATCATAGTCTCCTAAGGCACCCTATCCAACAAGTTACTCATAATAAGTCATCAACAACTTATGCCCTCGTATAATATATCAAGTTCCAAATGCTGTATTTCCAATGTATTCTAACTTCTGAATACCTCTGGGATCTCTGCCTTTTCTTCTATTTCTATTCCTGTTGTGTTAATTTGAACCTCCAACATTTCCCATCCAGAATTCTATGATAAGCTTCTTCCTTCTCAGGCCAGAGGGTCCTCTGTGCTTTTCTCCAGACTAGCACTACTATGATCTTTCCAGAAGTCATCTGACCATTCAGTCTTTATGTAACATTTTCCAAGGATCTTAACCATTTTAAGGATAAAGTCAACATAGGCTATGGGTCCTCTGTCTTGATCTGTGCCTAGACTGCCTTTAGGCTCAACTTTCACCATTTTCATGGATGATTAATAAGGTTTGGGTCTTCTTTCAGATGGTTGTGTAGATAGACTTTACCGTAGTGTACTATAGAAGTACACTTGTTGAGTTATTTTTTTAAAAAATCAGAATACATTATTAGTAATTTAAAAAACCAAAAGTTTATGTGACTTTCCTCTAAACTTAAATGAAAAGCAACTTTAGTCAGGTGAAATAAAATAAAGCAAAAAATAACAGTCATGAAAAATAGATTTACATGTCCAAAATTCTTACCCAGTGTCTGCCGGAAAGTTATCACCCAACCTCTTGCTGTTTGAAATGCATCTGTCTTGAACACCAGGAGCATACTGTTATTACTGCTCTTAACATTTGGTGGAAGCTTGGAACCACAGAATTTGCCAAGAAGGGGATCACTGATGTTGTAACCATCATAAATTGCCAGGTAGTCTTGGGAGCAGGAGGTGGAGAGAACCACATCAAAATCAGTGAACCTGTAAAATGAATCTTATTAATACTGATGTTCTTCATTTGGATTTCCATGAAATAGTACCTTGAGTTTTTGTCTTTAAAAAAAAAAAAGACAAAGGCTAAAAGTGAATGTCCAAGTTTTATTTAATAGGAAATATTAGAAACAGTATACTAATCAGTTCAAAAGTTTAGCCAAATTTTTTTTGAGTAATTCAATATGTCAAAAATCGTGATAAGCACTTGGGTTATAAAAATACATTAGATATGGCCCTGAACTTCTAAGAGTTTATAATCAAGGGCATATTAATTCTCCTGAGATTAAAGTTTTGACAAGTTTAACTGCTATCATTTCAGCAGCACTTTAGTATTTCAGTCTCATTGAAAGTATGGCACTTACTATTCTCTGGTTATTTTGGGGCCATCAAGTGGAACTATCATCCTATTCTTTACTTATGGGAAGATGCGAACAAGTGGAGGAAATACTGGTTTTAGAATCAGAGCTCCATTCTTATTCCCACAGTCATTGTTTCCTTCTTTGAAAATGGAGTGTAGAGTAAAGTTAACTGAAGCAATAGGCAAAAACCAAACCGTGGTGTCAGGCATATAACAGATGTTCTTAAAAAACAAGTGACCATTATTATCGTTTTGAAAATGAGGAATATGAAATAAGTTATTTCTCATAAAATAAATTGAAAAATTGAAAAATCGATGGTAGAAAAGAATACAGTAAATTCTCTTGAATCTTAGTTGATTGCCATAGCCAGAAATTCACATTTAAGATTACTGTGGTGGTCCCAGGAACTTCACCACATTTCTTGGCTCTCTGCCTTCTGGTATTTGCTTAAGACTGCCTTTCTGTGTACACTCTGAGCTTTGACATGGCCCTAAGACTCACATCTCCACGGCCAAGGCAAGTTTTAGGTGTGATATGTTCTACCTTTTGGAAGAATTTTATGAAACCACCACTCAGTTTGCCACATTGCCTGCCCACTGCAGTAATGATCCTAGAAGCAAATGCAGAGATGAAGTTTCCATCAGCCTGAGCCCCTGAGTGACCACAAGGAGCCAGGCCTCTGGGCAGGCCACAACAGATATACTCATTCGAGTGAGAAATAAACTCACTGAGGTAAGCTATTGTGCCTTTGGGTTGTTTGTTATCACTTATAACCTATCCTGACAGATACATCCCTAACTTTTCTTTTTAAAAAAATACATTTTACTGATTTTTTACAGAGAGGAAGGGAGAGGGATAGAGAGTTAGAAACATCGATGAGAGAAGAACATCGATCAGCTGCCTCCTGCACACCCCCTACTGGGGATGTGCCCACAACCAAGGTACATGCCCTTGACCGGAATAGAACCTGGGACCCTTCAGTCCACAGGCTGACACTCTATCCACTGAGCCATACTGGTTAGGGCCCTAATTTTTCTTATGGCCTAATATGGTATTTTCTTATGGCCTAATATGGTATTTTCTTATAGCCTAATATGGTATTTTAGTCTAGGCCTTATGCTCTGTCATTTCAAGTAACTATTCACAGAGTTCCCAAATAAGCAAGGCCTTCTGACATCTTTTTTTCTTCAGGATTTTATGAGGTGTTTACTAATGGCTTACTTTTAAAATTTTTGTTTAAATTATTTATTATTTGGAAAAAAATAAAAGTTATTTGCTCTCGTGACCTCATTTTTACACTCTTCTGCTTTCTGCGTTTTCTTTCGCTAGCAGCTGTAATAAATAACACATAGCACAGAGTAATTTGATAAGATTTAACAATAAAATACTTGGAAGAGCTTTAAGAAAAAAAGGATCATTTTTTATTTTTTCAAAAAGGTTCAATTGGCTGATTTTTTTCAAACTGATGATGAAGATCCAGATGAAAAAATTATTTAACCACACTTAACATTAAATGTTCTTGTAAAGGAAGATGAAGGCAGAACAATAGCTAGATAATTTCTACTTTTATTCTCAATAGGCAACATATTTATTTTCTACAACATAAATTTACAAAGAAAAAGAACAATTTGAGTGTCTAGGAGGACTCAAAGCTATTTTGGCTTTTTATTTGGCACCATTTTCCCAAAAGAGCAGAGAAGCTTCCTGGAAAAATCCCATGAAATATCCCATGGCATATTTTGAGAGCCTTCCTACAAGGAAGTATGTTTTACTAATGTCTACAACTTCTGCAGCACCTAGAATACTAGAATAATATCTGTTTCATAGACAGTAGTCTCAGAATATTACAATAATTATTCAAACATGGTGATATAAACTTTGATATAGTGTGAGGCCCAGAGCCCAGGCAGGAAACAGAAAGAAAAACACACACATGCACACACACACACACACACACACACACACACACACACACCATAACCCTATACATGTAAGAAACAAGTCTTGGGCTATAATGGCAAATGACAAGAACCATTCCTCATGCTTCCATTCTGGGCAGGCCATCCCTTCACAGGCCTCCTGCACTGGTCATTTGGCAATGTCTTATTTTTCTTTTGTTTGTTTTTTTGCTCCTAGGATTTAAAGGACTTTTTGGCTCTGGGGCATAGCTTCCTTACCAATCGTCCCAGGTGAGATCTGCAGTTTCCTTCAAGGCCCTACCTATAGACCACTCGCTGTCTGACACAGTCCAGCCCTTGGACCCATCTGGTACATGAGGCCTCCGGAGGTAAATTGCAGAGACTTTATGGTTTTTAGGGGGAGGTGGGTAGGAGTGGTCCTAGCCCATCATGCTCCTATAAAAGTTCTATATTGCTGCGAACTCTGCCAACCCTACCACAGATTTTCCTACCACAAACCGTACATTCCAGAATACCCATTTAGATGAAAGCAATGTGGGACTTTATCACTGGAAAACTGGAGGCTACATTCCCTTCATCAGACTTGGGAGAAAGTAGGATTAGGGAAAATTCCACTGATGTGAGATATCTTGAATAGCACCAACTTAGAGGTGTTCTGATACACAAAAATACATTTCTTAAGTAGTTAGAAGAAATTTTACCCTTTCAGAGATAGCATAGGAATATACTAGAGACATGGTATTGGGAGGAAACCTGACATGGATTCAGATATTGACCCTTCATTTAATAGTGCATCACTTTGAGAAAGTTATTTAACCTTTCTGGAGCCTCAGTTTTCTTATCAATACAATAAGATGAATAATATATACCTTATATGCCTGTTTTAAGAAATGAATAACAGAATTATGGAAAGTGTTAAAGGTTTTTTTTTGTGTATAAGTGCCCAACAACTGGAAACTCTCTCTGTTACCCTTGGATTTCAAAATTGTCTTATAACTTTACACCCATTATAAGCTCCTTTGAAACTGTTAGAAAATTTTAACGAGTGGAATGCCTGTTTTTCTTCCTTACCTGGTAACCATGCGCTACTGGCTTGTGTGGAGGGTAGGAGGCCTGTTTCCCAGGTTTCCACAAGGACCTCAATCTCCCTTCCTCCCTTCTATGTTCTGATGAGAATCGATGCTCTCCATTATTAAGGAAAGCCTAGCCGTAAATCAAGCTAAAATGGTTTTCTTAAGAAGGTGAATTTGTCTTACATACTTGAGCAGAATTACTTTGTTGTCTCTCACAGTGATGTTATACAAGCAGTACATGTCGTTAGGGTAGTCTGAGTATGAATAGGCAGGGCTTTTGATAATTCCAGTGGAGAAGTTGAACACACCACCACAGGCTGCAATGAAAGAGGGGAATATGCAGAGAACAATTAATACTCGCACCATGGAAAAATAGTTTTGGAATAACCTTTACTACTGTACCTTTTTCTCCTGAGAGATAACTATTATTTTTTTTTCTTAAAGCTCCCTTCAGTGTGCTTACAACTAATTCTGATTTTTCTACCAAGGCAGAAGGAGGAAACAGTATGGTGAGAAGCAGGGAAGAATATTTAAGGCACCTCTTAGATGGAATAAGTCTGAGTCAAATTAATGGCCAGAGTGAAAACAGTGAGGAGAAACATTTCACGTGTTGGGTGTGACTGTCCCTTCTCTATATTTAATTCATAGGCTCAGAGGGATGACAGTGATAACTGGAAATGTAGAAAAGGCAAGCAGAATCCAAGGCACATTGTGGGCACATGAACCCAGGAAGGTCTGCCCACTAGAAATCTTCAATATCGATTCGAGTCTCCTCTGTCAAAAATAGGCTATTAGAAAGTAAAGTACTGGAAATCATTTTTTGGAACATTTGAGCGTAGTTCCCTCTGTGGGCCCCAATTCATAGCCCCTGGGTCCCATGTATTTCTATTTAGTGTGAGACTGGTAAGGATTCTACTTGCCCACATTGGTGTTACTGGCATGAGGAGGCCAGGCCCACTCCCCAGCCGGACCCCAGCACTCAACTGCCCAGAGCCCTTAGTTACTCCAGTTAGTCAATAAACCAACAGTCATAATATTATAATAAACCTATTGTTTTTAATATAAAATTATTATTTTTGCTTGGACTTACATATAAGGAGGATCAGGTTGTGCCACTTAATGATGGAAAATGCCCTCCCATTATTACAGTGAGAAAGATTTATGTTTATTTTGTTACTAGAGGCCCGGTGCACAAAAATTTGTGCACTCGGAGGGAAGGGGGGGCCCTCAGCCCGGCCTGTGCCCTCTCACAGTCTGGGACCCCTCGGGAGATAATGCCCTGCTGGCTTAGGCCTGCTCCCGGGTGGCAGAGGGCAGGCCCAATCGTTAGGGGCAGCCCCTGGTCGGGCGCAGAGCAGGGCCGATCAGGGGGTTGGGGCACCGCCACTCTCACACTCAGGGCAGGGTTGATGGGGAGGTTATGGCTCTATCCCATCACGCACAGAGCAGGGCCCGTGGGGTGGGGGGGTTGGGGCGCCGCACCCTGTCACACACAGAGCTGCAGGGTGATCAAAGGTTGGGGAGCTCCCCCATATCAGGCACAGAGCAGGGCTGATCAGGAGGTTGGAGCGCCTTCCCCTGTCACAAACAGAGCCGCAGGGCGATCAGGGGGTTTGGGCGCTGCCCCCTGTCACGCTGATCCCAGTGCCAAGAGGCCTCGCAGCTCCACTGATCCCAGTGCTGGGAGGCATATTACCCTTTTACTATATAGGATAGAGGCCTGGTGCACGGGGGGGGGCCGGCTGGTTTGACCTGAAGGGGGGCCTTGATCAGGGTAAGGGTCCCCCCTGGGGTGCCTCGCCAGTCTGGGTGAGGGGCTGAGGGCTGTTTTCAGGCTGGCAGGTGACGGAAGCTCCCAACTGCTCCTTTTTGTCTTTTTAATTCTGGGCCAGCTTTAGCTCTGAGGCTCCAGCTCTTAGGCCTCCAGTGCTGAAAGTAGGTATCAGTTTGTTTCGGTTCTTAAGTGAAACAATGTATAACTTCAGCTCTGACTCCAGCTCTGAGATCCCAGCTAGCTGAAAGCTGGTTTCTGGGGTTTTATTTAACTTCTATATTTGTTAGAATGTTTCAAACTGCAGGCTCAGAGGCCTGCAGCGGCAGGGGGGGGACGTTGGGTTCCTCCATCACTGAGGCAAGCAAGCCTCATGTTAGTTTCAAGCTGCCTGGCTGCAGGCGGCCATCTTGGCTGACAGTTAATTTGCATATCTCGCTGATTAGCCAATGAAAAGGGTAGCGGTCGTACGCCAATTACCATTTCTCTTTTATTAGATAGGATGTTATTCTAAAATTAGAATGGGGTTAGTATATTTTGATGCTATCTCTATGGTTTATAAACTATCAATGGACATTTTCTACTTGCATCTCTTAGAAATGAGAAACAAATGGTGGCTGCCATGTAAGGCTGTTTGCTTATTGATGTATTTCACCTCAGCTAAGCCCACTTTGCAGGGAAAGCTACTCTCCATAAGTATGCATGTGCTCAGACCCCTGTGGACGTATGGAGTGAATTAAATGTCAGATTGGTGTGGCCATTACTCCGTTTCATCGTGTACACAATTATGTGGCCTCTGAACGCTTATCAAAGCCTAAATAACCCCCAAATTTGTACATGTCAGGATTTGAAATCTTATCAACAAAACTCTCTATTCATCCAAGATTAGTGAAAGGGGAACAGAGATCTTGCCAAAGTATATTGTTTTGTGTTTTGTCTTTACTTGGCCAAACCCATTGCTAAAAGTAGGAAGTTAAATAATTATCTTTCAAATAAATTACTGTTCCCATCCACAGATAAGACTGGAATATTTACTTACTCATGATAAAGGGCCTTCACAGTTCATTCATGTGAGCTGCTACCTGAGTCCTGACCCCATTTGTAAAGTGTAATTGTCTGTGGCTTTGTAGGTCTGTTGGCACAACCAGAATAGAACTGAGCAATGGGCATCCCCCCAGTTGTCTTATTGATAAAGAAATAGATTATTTGTTTTATTCTTTTGGTACAACTGGTGTTTTGGAAAGTTACGTCATTGCTTTATATTCTTTTAGCCTTTAATCCCTCGTTTTTCTAAAACACTGTGTGCAAACTTCCACACAGCCACCAGTAGAGTCTCATATGAATGAAGTGGGGAAAAACACTGTCAGGAAACTAACGAACCAAGTTTATTGCAAGAGAAGAAAGGGCTACTCAAAATGGTGAAATATAGTTTCATGATTTTCAAATAAGCAGGTTAAATTGTCTTTAAAGAATTAAAAGATCCTGGTAGCCACAGAGGCCTTTGCCCAGTGTTGACTTGTCTTCTCACTTTGACTTTGACATGAGAAGCTGCAAATTATCAGTGTTTCCTTTCCCTTTAAGACAGCGGTTCTCAACCTGTGGGTCGCGACCCCTTTGGGGGTCAAATGACCCTTTCACAGGGGTCGCCTAATACCATCAGAAAACACATATATAATTACATATTGTTTTTGTGATTAATCACTATGCTTTAATTATGTTCAATTTGTAACAATGAAAATACATCCTACATATCAGATATTTACATTATGATTCATAACAGTAGCAAAATTACAGCGATGAAGTAGCAACAAAAATAATTTTATGGTTGGGGGTCACCACAACATGAGGAACTGTATTAAAGGGTGGCGGCATTAAGAAGGTTGAGAACCACTGCTTTAAGACCTGCGCTTTTTGTATGTTGTTGAAAAAAATCCTACCAGAAGACCATAAAGATATTCTTTTAGTTTTTTCTTAAATTTATACAAATTGCTTTTCTTTTTGTTAATAATCCTCACCTAAGGATACATCTTTATCGATTTTTAGAGAGAGAGAGGAACGGGAAGGAGAGAGAGAGATAGAGAGAGAGAGAGAGAGAGAGAGAGAGAAACATAAATAGGATGCCTCCCAAATGAGCCCCAACCAGGGTTCGAACTGCAACTGAGGTATATATGTGCCCTGACCAGGAATTGAACACTTAATCTTGTGTGTGTGTGTGTGTGTGTGTGTGTGTGTGTGTGTACAGGCTGATGCTCTAACTGAGCCAGCTGGCCAGGGCCAATATTGTTTTTCACATTAGCAAACTGACAAAATGCAATGGGCATCTGGATAGTCCAGGCCAAAAAAGTCACTTCAAAGTAATGTCCAAACAG